GAAAAACCAAAAAAAAAAAAAAAAAGAAAGAAAGAAAGAAAGAAAGAAAGAAAAAGAGAAAAAAAAGAAACACAGAGGTCTACATTAGTCATAAACTGGTTGATCTATTAGCTCAGGCTTCTTATTAACTCTTACATCCTACATTAACCCATAATTCTTATCTGTGTTAGCCACATGGCTTGGTACCTTTTATCAGCAAGACAGTCTCATCTTGCTTCCTCTGTGTCTGGGTTATGACTGCAGACTCAGCCTTTTCTCTTCCCAGAGTTCTCCTGTTCTGGTTGCCCCGCCTATACTTCCTGCCTGGCTGCTGGCATTTTATTAAGCAAGTACAAGAGACAAATCCTTACAGGGTACAAAGACCATTGTCCCACAGCAAGTGGGTCTTCTTAAATATTTGTCATTTATTTGAGATTATTGAGTTTCTTTTATAACAAATGCTGGTCATGCATGGTTGTATATGCCTTTAATCCCAGCACTCTAGAGGCAGAAGCAGGAGATCTCTGTGAGTTGGAAGCCAGCCTGGTCTACATAGAGAGTTCCTGGCCAGGGCTCCAGGTAAAAACCTAGCATTTTACATTCGAATTTTATTTAAGCTGTCAGCTTTTAATCCTTAGCTTAGGAGTTGCTGCTAAACACCTGCAGTTGAGCAAGGGAAAAGTCATGCTAAATGATTCTAGAGATCTGAGTAAGGTAGTTTCACTGTGCGCCCCAGAGAGGTCCATGAGCTGTCCTCTTGCCTCTGCCTGTGATGAGCTGGGATTGCGGAGATGAGACTACAGTGTTGAGAAGCAGAAGCGCTAACATAATCTTTTTGATGTTTGGTAGAGAGGAACGAAGAGGATCCTATGACTACAGCCAAGATCGGACATACTATGAAAGTGTTCGGACTCCGGGCACCTACCCTGAGGACTCCAGGAGGGACTATCCAGCTCGAGGGAGAGACTTTTACTCCGAGTGGGAAACGTACCAAGGAGAATATTATGAGTCCCGATACTATGATGACCCTCGAGAATACAGAGAATATAGGAGTGATCCTTATGAACAAGATATTCGGGAATACAGCTATAGGCAAAGAGAACGGGAGCGAGAACGGGAGAGATTTGAGGTTGACCGGGACCATGAAAGGAGGCCCATTGAGCGAAGTCAGAGTCCAGTCCACTTGCGTCGTCCACAGAGTCCTGGGGTGTCTCCTGCACATTCGGAGAGATTGCCAAGTGACTCTGAGAGGAGACTGTACCGCCGGTCCTCAGAGCGAAGTGGGAGCTGCAGCTCAGTGTCCCCACCACGGTACGATAAACTGGAGAAGGCTCGATTGGAGCGCTATACAAAAAACGAAAAGACGGATAAAGAACGAACTTTTGATCCTGAGAGAGTGGAGAGGGAGAGACGAATAATTCGGAAGGAAAAAGTAGAAAAGGACAAACCTGACAGGCAGAGACGGAAAGGAAAAGGTCATTCTCCTAGCTCTCAGTCTTCCGAGACAGAGCAAGAGAACGAGGGAGAGCAGCAGAGCCCTGAGAAAAGCCGGAGTTCTACCAAACTGAGCAGAGAGAAAGCCGACAAGGAAGGGCCAGCCAAGAACCGTCTGGAGCTCGTGCCTTGTGTGGTTTTGACTCGAGTGAAGGAAAAGGAGGGGAAAGTCATTGACCACCCTCAGATGGAAAAGCTCAAAGCCAGATTTGATCACGACACTGCTAAACCTTCAGCCCCGGGGCAGAAGTCCCAGGCCTCTCAGATGGAGCTGGCCAAGTCAGACTCGTCTACAGTGGAGTCCGCTAGAGGGAAAGCACTGAGGGAAAAGGCCCTTTCCAGCCACGCAGAGTCGGTGGATAAGGAGGGCAGGCCTAAACTCAGGAAGCACCTCAAACCGGAGCAGACGCCTGAGGGCCTGAGCGCTGTGGACCTGGAGAAGCTTGAAGCAAGGAAAAGGCGCTTTGCAGACTCCAACTTGAAAGCAGAAAAGCAAAAACCAGAAGTCAAGAAAAGCAGCCCTGAGACAGAGGACACTCGAGTGCTTCTAAAGAAGCAGCCTGATGTGTCAAGAGACAGTGTTCTGGTGAGGGAAGGCGAGTCCGAACGAAAGCCCGTGAGAAAAGAAATCCTTAAAAGGGAATCAAAAAAAACCAAGCTGGACAGACTTAATTCGGCTCCCAGCCCCAAAGACTGCCAGGAGCCTGCTGCTGTCTCCTCAGGGTCTGGCTCACAGCCCAGCTCAGATGGACACCCAGGCCTGGGAGATCAAATACACGCATCTGTGGAAAGTCAAGAAGCCCAGCCCAAAAAAGCCATCCCCTCAAAACCTCAGCCCAAACAGCTGCAGCTCCTAGATAATCAAGGGCCGGAGAAAGAGGAAGTCAGGAAAAACTATTGCCGTCTTCGTGAGGAGCCATCCGAGCATAAAGCAGGCCAGGAGAAGCCACACGCACTAAATGCTGAAGAGAAGCTTGGCATTGACATTGATCACACACAGAGTTACCGAAAACAGATGGAACAGAGTCGCAGAAAACAGCAGATGGAGATGGAAATAGCCAAGTCTGAGAAGTTTGGCAGTCCTAAAAAAGATGTAGATGAATATGAAAGACGGAGCCTTGTTCATGAGGTCGGCAAGCCCCCCCAGGATGTCACTGACGACTCACCCCCCAGCAAAAAGAAAAGGATGGATCATGTTGATTTTGACATCTGTACCAAAAGGGAGAGAAATTACAGAAGTTCACGGCAGATCAGTGAGGACTCTGAAAGGACCAGCTGTTCTCCCAGCGTCCGCCATGGCTCCTTCCATGAAGATGACGACACCCTGAGTTCCCCTAAGCTAATGTCAGTAAAAGGGTCCCCTAAAGTGGATGATAAGGGTCTCCCCTATTCTAATGTATCAATGAGAGAAGACACCTTAAAATTTACTCCTTATGATTGTAGCAAGAGAGAACATGCGGCGGACATGGCCAGAATAAAGCTGTCTGTCTTGAATTCTGAAGAGGACCCGCATCGTTGGGACCCTCAGGGGAAACAGGACCCCAGCAGGTTTGACGTGAGTTTTCCAAACAGCATAATCAAGAGAGACAGTTTACGGAAGAGGTCTGTGCGAGATCTGGAACCTGGCGAGGTGCCCTCTGACTCTGATGAGGATGCTGAGCACAAATCCCAGTCACCCAGGGCCTCTACCTTCTACGACAGCCCTCGGCTGTCTTTTTTATTGAGGGACAGAGACGACAAACTACGTGAACGAGAGGAAAGACTGTCTAGTTCTTTAGAAAGAAATAAATTTTATTCTTTTGCTCTGGATAAGACAATCACACCAGACACTAAAGCTTTGCTAGAAAGAGCTAAGTCTCTTTCCTCATCCCGTGAAGAAAACTGGTCTTTTCTTGACTGGGACTCCCGCTTTGCTAATTTTCGAAATAACAAAGATAAAGAAAAGGTTGACTCTGCCCCAAGACCTATTCCATCCTGGTACCTGAAAAAGAAGAAAATCAGGACTGACTCAGAGGGGAAAATGGATGATAAGAAGGATGACCACAGGGAAGAGGAACAGGAGAGGCAAGAACTGTTTGCCTCTCGGTTTTTACATAGCTCCATCTTTGAACAAGATTCTAAGCGGCTGCAGCATCTTGAAAGGAAGGGCGAGGAGTCCGACTTCCCTCCTGGAAGGCTGTACAGCAGACAAGCATCTGACGGAGCCAACAGCATGAGTGACTCGGTCCAGGAGCCCGTGGTGCTGTTCCACAGCAGATTCATGGAGCTCACGCGGATGCAGCAGAAAGAAAAGGAGAAGGACCAGAAGCCCAAAGAGGCTGAGAAACAGGAGGACCCAGAGTATATTTCCAAGACCCCGGAACCTGCCACTGAGACTAAAGAGCTGGAGCCAAAAGCCCCCGTGTCAGTTGGGCTTCCTGCAATCACCCCCGTGACACCAGAACCAGCATCATCAGCACCAGAGAAGGCTGAGAAAATGGCAGAGGCTCCTTTGCTGGCAGAAGAGAAGCCTGTGGAGCCAGCCCCCATCTTGGAGGAGGCAAAGTTGGCATCTGAGCCAGTTCCTGTCCTCATGGAACAGCCCAAGCAGGTAGAGGTACCCCCAGGAGAAGGCTCCAGAGAAAGTCCTGCAGTGGTGCATCAGGCTACTCAAGAAAGCCCAGCTACTGAGCCCATCCCTTCTGTGAGTGCCGAGCCTCCCGCTCCTGGGACTGCAATTTCCAAGATAGAAAACAATATAGATCCAAAACCCAGCAGTCCCCAGCCGCTTTCAAAACTAACTCAGAAGTCTGAGGAAGCTGAAGAGCTAAGAGTGGAGAAGCCAGATGCAGCTCCGAGCATTGAACCCAGTGTCACTCAGAAACCTGAAGTTATGCCTGAAGTTCAGCCCCCAGCGTCTGAAGATGTAGAGGCCAATCCTCCAGTCTCTGCGAAAGACAAGAAAACAAACAAAAGCAAGCGTTCCAAGACACCGGTCCAGGCAGCTGTCGCAAGCATCGTGGAGAAGCCCGTCACCAGAAAGAGCGAGAGGATAGACCGGGAAAAGCTGAAGCGGTCCAGCTCTCCTCGTGGAGAAGCACAGAAGCTGTTAGAACTGAAGATGGAGGCGGAGAAGATTACAAGGACTGCATCTAAAAGCTCTGGAGGGGACCCTGAGCTCCCTGAGCCTAGCCTGCCTCTCAGCCGAACCAGGCGCCGGAATGTCAGGAGCGTTTATGCCACCATGGGTGATCACGAAAGCCGCTCTCCAGCTAAAGAGCCTGCTGAGCAGCCCAGACTGACCAGGAAGAGATTGGAACGGGAACTGCAGGAGGCCGTGGTAGTTCCCACCACCCCTCGGAGGGGAAGGCCTCCTAAAACTCGCCGGCGTGCTGATGAGGATGAAGAGCATGAGACGAAAGAGCGAGCAGAAACATCCAAGCCTGCTGAGGGGTGGAGGTCTCCGAGGTCTCAGAAGGCTGCAGCCGCTGGCGGGCCCCATGGGAAAAGGGGGAGAGGCGAGCAAAAAGCTGAGGCTGCTGCTGAGGGTGGTGCCCAGGTGAACACGAGAGAAAGTAACACTAAGTCCAGGGGTGACAGAGAAGCAGCCAGCGAGGCCAAACGTGACAGGAGAGACACCAGCACAGACAAAAATGGACCCAACGCCTTCCCAGTCGAGACATTGGAGAGAAAACTGCCTCCTGAGAAAACCAAACCAAAGAGGGGACGTGCTCGCAGCACCAGGTCAGCAATGGACAGGGCTGCACATCTGAAAAGCCTGGAAATGGCCACCCGGGCTGCAGGGCAGGCTGTGGACAAGGAAGCTGGGCTTGTGGCAGTCTCTCCTGAGAAAAACAAGAGCCCCCCAAGGGAAAGTGTCTCCTCGTCTCAGCTGAAACATGACCCAATTGGTCCTGAGAAAGAGAAGGAAGATGTGTCTGCCTCCACGGTGTCCCCAGGAGCCACACAGCTAGCCAAGCAGATGGAGCTGGAACAGGCCGTGGAGAATATTGCAAAGCTCGCCGAGCCCTCCACTGGTGCAGCTGACAAGGGAGCAGCCACAGGGACACCTGCAGGCCCTGCTGTGGAGGACGGCCACAAGCCTGCACACCAGGCAAGTGAGACCGAACTGGCGGCGGCCATTGGCTCCATCATCAGTGACAGTTCTGGAGAGCCTGAAAACTTGTCTGCGTCTCCCTCCTTCCCCTCAGGATCTCAGCCGCATCAACAGGAAGGAACGGAGCCAGGGCCCTCTGGTGCCACATCTGGAACCTCAGCGGCAGATGCTGTTCCAGAGTCTTCTGGCCCACAGAGCAGTGCCTCGAACCCCTCAGCAGGTTCTGCAGACACCAAGGAAGCCAGAGGGAACAGCAGTGAGTCTGTACAGGAAGCCAAGGGGTCTAAAGTGGAAGTCACTCCTCCCCGGAAAGACAAAGGACGTCAAAAGACACGACGCCGAAAAAGGAATGCAAACAAGAAAGTGGTCGCTGCTACAGAGACTCGTACTTCTGAGACCGAGCAGGCTCAAAGTGAAAGCCCTGCTGCTAATGAGGCAACAGCAGCACCCCCAGAAGCTCCCCAGGAAGAAAAGCAGAGTGAAAAGCCTCAGTCCCCTCCTCCTCAGGAATGCACCTCTGACCCAGTCAAGACCCCACCTGCTGAGAGTCCCCGTCAGGAAAGCAGTGTTGAAGAAAAGACTCCATGCAAAGCACCCACACCCCCTGACCTCCCACCTCTTTCCCAGCCATCGCTGGTGGATGATGAACCCCAGGCTAGGTTCAAGGTGCATTCAATCATCGAAAGTGATCCGGTGACCCCACCCAGTGACTCAAGCTTACCTCCACCCACAATTCCTTTAGTGACAATAGCAAAGCTCCCACCCCCTGTCATTCCTGGGGGAGTCCCACATCAGAGTCCCCCCACTAAGGTGACAGAGTGGATCACCAGACAGGAGGAGCCTCAGGCTCAGTCTGCCCCATCTCCAGCTCTTCCCCCAGACACAAAGGCCTCTGACGTGGACACCAGCTCTAGCACACTGAGGAAGATCCTCATGGACCCCAAATATGTATCTGCCACCGGGGTTACTTCCACAAGTGTCACCACAGCCATTGCAGAGCCCGTGAGTGCTGCTCCTTGTCTGCACGAGGCACCAGTCCCTCCAGGTGAACCCAAACATCCTCCCTTAGAAGAAAAGTCAGCAACTCCAGTGTCAAATGCTTCTGACACACAGCCCTCAGAGGTCCCAGTAGCTGCTGACAAAGAGAAGGTGGCCCCGGTCATTGCCCCTAAAATCACATCTGTCATCAGCCGGATGCCTGTCAGCATTGACCTGGAGAATTCGCAGAAGATAACTTTGGCAAAACCCGCTCCTCAGACCCTGACTGGCCTGGTGAGTGCCCTGACTGGCCTGGTGAATGTCTCTCTGGTCCCAGTGAATGCCTTAAAGGGTCCTGTGAAGGGCTCAGTGGCCACACTGAAGGGTTTAGTGAGCACCCCTGCTGGGCCTGTGAATCTCCTGAAGGGGCCTGTGAATGTGCTCACTGGGCCCGTCAATGTCCTGACCACTCCAGTGAGTGCCACAGTGGGCACGGTGAACGCTGCCCCGGCTCCTGTGAATGCTGCTGCAGGTGCAGTGACTGCCGCATGTGGCGTGACCGCCACAACAGGCACAGCAGCTATGACAGGTGCAGTGAGTGCGCCATCAGCAAAGGGCAAACAGAGGTCAAGCAGCAATGAGAACAGTCGCTTCCACCCTGGGTCTATGTCAGTGATTGATGAGCGTCCAGCAGACACAGGCTCTGGTGCAGGGCTGCGTGTGAACACTTCAGAAGGAGTCGTGCTTCTGAGCTACTCAGGACAGAAGACGGAAGGCCCACAGCGGATCAGTGCCAAGATCAGTCAGATCCCTCCAGCCAGTGCAATGGACATTGAGTTTCAGCAGTCAGTGTCTAAGTCCCAGGTGAAAGCAGATTCTGTCACCCCATCCCAGTCTGCACCCAAAGGCCCTCAGACCCCTTCAGCTTTTGCAAATGTGGCCACCCATTCCACCCTGGTCCTGACCGCCCAGACATACAATGCCTCTCCGGTGATCTCCTCTGTGAAGACGGACCGTCCGTCCTTGGAAAAGCCTGAGCCCATTCACCTCTCAGTGTCCACGCCTGTCACCCAAGGTGGCACAGTGAAGGTTCTCACTCAGGGCATCAACACACCCCCGGTGCTGGTTCACAACCAGCTTGTTCTCACCCCAAGCATAGTCACCACTAACAAGAAACTTGCTGACCCCGTCACTCTGAAAATAGAGACCAAGGTCCTTCAGCCAGCTAACCTGGGGCCCACCCTCACTCCCCACCACCCTCCTGCCCTGCCCAGCAAATTGCCTACAGAAGTGAACCATGTTCCTTCGGGACCCACCACCCCAGTAGATCGAACCATCTCCCACTTGGCAGCCACAAAGCCAGATACACATCCTCCTCGACCTAGTGGGCCTACACCAGGCCCATTCCCAAGGGCATGCCATCCCAGCAGCACCACATCCACACCACTCTCCACCAATGCCACCGTCATGCTGGCTGCAGGCATTCCAGTGCCCCAGTTCATCTCCAGTATCCACCCGGAGCAGTCTGTCATCATGCCACCCCACAGCATCACTCAGACCGTGTCCCTTGGTCACCTTTCACAAGGTGAGGTGAGAATGAACACACCCACATTACCCAGCATCACCTACAGCATCCGGCCAGAAACTCTGCACTCTCCTCGGGCCCCTCTGCAGCCCCAGCAGATAGAGGCAAGGGCCCCACAGCGTGTGGGCACACCCCAGCCTGCCACAGCTGGTGTGCCTGCCCTGGCCACCCAGCACCCTCCTGAGGAAGAAGTCCACTATCACCTCCCTGTGGCTAGAGCTGCAGCCCCCGTGCAGTCAGAAGTGCTGGTCATGCAGTCTGAGTACCGACTACACCCGTACACTGTGCCCCGAGACGTGAGGATCATGGTGCACCCACATGTGACTGCTGTCAGTGAGCAGCCCAGGGCCAATGAGGGGGTAGTAAAGGTGCCACCAGCCAGCAAGGCCCCCCAGCAGCTGGTGAAAGAAACCGTTAAGACTTCTGATGCCAAAGCAATCCCTGCCCCGGCCCCTGGCCCCGTGCCTACCCCTGCTCCTAACCCCCATGGTGAAGCCCGCATTCTCACAGTCACCCCCAGCAACCAGCTTCAGGGGCTGCCTCTGACCCCACCTGTGGTTGTGACCCATGGGGTGCAGATTGTGCACTCCAGCGGTGAGCTGTTCCAGGAATATAGGTACGGAGATATCCGCACCTACCATGCCCCCGCTCAGCTCACACACACTCAGTTTCCTGTCGCCTCCTCCGTCAGCCTACCCTCCAGGACCAAGACTTCTGCACAGGTGAGGAAGCCAGGTTTCCTCCCTACCGATTGGGCATGTGCTCGGGAGCTTTGTGGTTTCGAAAGACAGGCAGGTAGGCCATCAAGACGGTTCAGTGGGTGAAGGCATTTGCTTAAATGTGAGCCTGGCAACCAAGTTTGGTCCCCAGAACCCTGGTAGAAGTAGAAAGAGGTGAACTGCACTCGTGTGTGTCTCCCGTCGTGCACTCACAGACACTCAGTGACCTTCAGCAAGGATCGTGAGCAAAGTACAGACAAGCTAGACAGGCCTTGGAGGTGGAAGGGGAGGGGCTTCCTAAATGCACAGCGAGGAGTGGCTCAGATCATACCACAGCTCTTGGGTGTGGAGAGACACTTTATACGGGGCCTCCTGCCATGTTAGGTGGCCTTTTCCGTGAGAACACAGCTCCACTGGTTTTTATTTCCTCTGTGGCCTGACTGTAAGACAAGGGTGCCTCCCTCTGGTCCATTGAGTTCTTGTTTGGGAACTGGGGGTGTATGCACAGCCCATCCTGACTGCCCCCTTTGTCTTCTTCCCAACTCTAGGGCCCTCCTGAAGGTGAGCCCTTGCAGACCGCACAGCCTGCGCAGCCTGCCCCGTCTACGCAGCCCACGCAGCCTGCACCACCTGCTCCACCCTGCCAGCCCTCCCAACTTAGCCAGCCTGTCCAGCCGCTGAGTAGCAAGATGTCCCAGGTCTCCCAAGAAGCAAAGGGGACTCAGACAGGAATGGTAGAGCAGCCTCGTCTCTCAGCTGTCCCTGCCAGCCGGCCACCTGAGCCCCATGTTCAGGTTCAGAAGGCACCAGTGGACACAGGGCAGCCAACCCATCCCTCACCTGTGTCAGTCTCCATGAAGCCAGACCTCCCAAACCCTCTTCCTTCTCAGGCTGCCCCAAAGCAGCCATTGTTTGTCCCTGTGGCCTCGGGCACAAGCACCCCACCTGGACTGGCTCTGTCTCACACTGAAGCCCAGCCAGCCCCTAAACAAGATTCTTCTCCACACCTGACTTCACAAAGGCCTGTGGATATGGTCCAGCTTCTGAAGGTAAGATGGGCAGAGGCTGCTCTTGACACCCTGACTCTGTTCTGTCTTTCTTAATTATTTATTTATTTATTAAAGATTTCTGTCTCTTCCCCACCGCCGCCTCCCCTTTCCCTCCCCCTCCCCCAATAAAGTCCCCCTCCCTCGTCAGCCCAAAGAGCAATCAGGGTTCCCTGCCCTGTGGGAAGTCCAAGGACCACCCACCTCCATCCAGGTCTAGTAAGGTGAGCATCCACGAAACTGCCTAGGCTCCCATGAAACCAATAGGTACAGTAGGATCAAAAACCCATTGCCATTGTTCTTGAGGTCTCAGTAGTCCTCGTTGTCCACTATGTTCAGCGAGACCGGTTTTAACCCGGGCTTTTTCAGACCCAGGCCAGCTGGCCTTGGTGAGTTCCCGATAGAACATCCCCCTTGACTTCTTGAAGTTTGCAGGCAAATGGATGGAAATAGAAAACACCATCCTGAGTGAGGTAAGCCAGACCCAAAAAGAGGAACATGGGATGGTCTCACTCATATTTGGTTTCTAGCCATAAATAAAGGACATTGAGCCTATAATTCGGGTTCTTAGAGAAGCTAAATAAGAAGGAGAACCCAAAGAAAATCATAATAGGCTTCCTCCTGAATATTAACCTTCATCAGGCGATGAAAGGAGACAGAGACAGAGACCCACAATGGAGCACCCGACTGAAATCTCAAGGTCCAAATCAGAAGCAGAAGGAGAGAGAGCACGAGCAAGGAACTCAGGACCGCGAGGGGTGCACCCATACTCTGTTCTGTCTTAAGTGTACCACAATCTCTTAGTTTATAAGCTGCTTCCAGGGTCGTGCTGGGCATGCCATGATCCCGTCTTTGCTTTGTTTCCTGGTAAGCAGAAATACCCCATCGTGTGGCAGGGCCTGCTGGCCCTCAAGAACGACACGGCCGCTGTGCAGCTCCACTTCGTCTCTGGCAACAATGTCCTGGCCCATCGGTCTCTGCCTCTCTCTGAAGGCGGTCCCCCGCTGAGGATTGCCCAAAGGATGCGGCTAGAGGCCTCGCAGCTGGAAGGGGTTGCCCGGAGGATGACAGTAAGACTTGTGGGCCCTGGTAAATGCCTATGCAATACTCAGGGAGGGAAGAACAGGCAGCCTCGGGGCTAAACTCCTGGCTGTGATAACTCTTGAAGTGGGCTATGAAGGACAAACTCGACTTGGGTAGAGAAATAAATACCTCTAGTCTCAGAAGTGAGCATACATGCTTGCGCTCATGCATACGCACACACGTTAGTGTGGTGACACAGCCATCTTAGAGATGCTTGGCTCCTTTGGTAGGACACATGCTATTTAGTCAGGAGACCCCTAACCACTCACCTCTGCTCCAGGTGGAAACAGATTACTGTCTGCTGCTGGCTCTGCCCTGTGGTCGTGACCAGGAGGATGTGGTGAGCCAGACGGAGTCCCTCAAGGCTGCCTTCATCACTTACCTGCAGGCCAAGCAGGCAGCGGGGATTATCAATGTTCCAAACCCTGGCTCCAATCAGGTTGGTCCACTGTCCCATCCCTACCCAACACTTGTACACACAGCTAGGACCAGTTTAGGTCAGGGCTGGAGGGCTGACCCAGCTAGGAGTTCCCAGAGGAGATGGGTAATGGCCACCAGTTGCCCATCCTGGAAAGAAGGGGAGTGGGGTTGGGGAGGCATTGACCTTGAATTATAGTAGCTGATGACACCCTGTCCTGATGTCTCACTGCGGGGGAAGGGGGCTGTTAAGGCCGGGCAGTCATGGAAGACAGGGGTCCCACTTTGTTTCTCCTCCTCCAGCCCGCCTATGTGCTGCAGATCTTCCCACCCTGTGAGTTCTCGGAGAGTCACCTCTCCCGCCTGGCCCCTGACCTCCTTGCTAGCATCTCCAACATCTCTCCCCACCTCATGATCGTTATTGCCTCTGTGTGAGGCTCTGCTGCAGAAAAGATGAACGGACAGAACCGTGGACAACCCAGCCAGGCAGAGGGGAAGCTGCTGAGGGGCAGACTGCCCTGGCTCTCACGCCCACCCGGCTCTGTGGACAGACCTCCTCTGGGGGTGGTGCTGCTTGTATGTTTACATGAAATTCTCGCCCAGGACAGACCACCAACCCATGGACTCACAGAAACCTTAGGGGCTGGCCTTCCTCGTTCGGAGAAAAGGAACAAGACAGTGGGAGTCTGTTTGTGTTCAGCAGAACAGCCTTTGCACTGAATTAGTGACTTGCACAGCGAACACAGGTGTGGCTCTCTGGACATGTGGACGGGAGCACACTGCGGACTCTCATGCAGGACTCGGGACTTGTGCTGAAGCCTTGGTGTCAAGGAACATTTCATTGGGTATTTTTGCCCTGTCGCCTCCTTTCTTCCCTGCTCATCGGACATGTCATTGTTCTTAATTCTCCTGCCGCCGCCGCCACCTTCGACTCATCAGATGTACAGTTTACAGTTGAGTAAAAGCGAACAGAAGGATTTTCTTTCTTGGTCGGATGTGCAGAACTTGGGATGTGTATATATAAATATATATATATATAATATATATATATATAAAATACTGACTTAAATCAAATTTCCCTGACATACTTTTTTTTAATCTGTGCCAAAAATGTGTTTTCAAAGAAAATCTTATTTTCATACTCAGACTTTATACCGTCACTCATTTGTATAAGTGCGCTTCGTTACAGCACGGGTCCCAACTCCGGCAACATGGAAGTGTCACACAGCACCTGTACAAAAAGACCTGGCCAACTCCCTCTTCCTGTGACTTGGACCTCTCCCTGACTTCCTAACACTTATTAATTTATGAAACTGTTTTTCTCAGCGCAGTTTTGTTGTGTGTCCATTGGATTACAAACTTTATTAAAAAATACAAAACACCTAAAGTGTGAATGTGGTTGTCGCTCAAGTGGGACCCACAGGGTTCTTGGCTTGCCAGAACAGTAGCTCCCACCCCACGTCTGAACGAGAGTGTTTCACCTTGTACTGGAGACTGGAATCGTCAATGCTGGCCCTCGCTCCTGTTTCTTCTGGGCCACTGGGAAGCCATTCAGGTTTTGATAATGAAGTCCCTCCTTTCCCTACCCACTTGCAAGCTCCTGCTCTAGGCTCATACTGAATGCCTGCTTCCCTTCTCCCCTCCCTGGTAGCAAGGAGCCCAATAGTCCTGGGCTGTTAATTCCGTCTCTGCTTCAAGACAAAAAAAAAAAAAAAAACTAAAAACCAGAACTGTGGCACCATCTGGGTGATGGACCTGGGGGGCTACAAAGCAGGTCTGTCTCCAGTTCAGTGGGGCTCCATGGGATCCCATCATTGAGGCTTCTGGCTGCTTGCTCCCTTCCCTTCTCTCCTTGCCAACCTGATGATAACCTGCAGCAAGTTAGTGTTGCCACAGGATGGCGTCGCTGTGGCCTCGGTAAAGCAGGTACTAGGCTCTGGATTACGGAAAAGCCAGCCAGTGTTCTGTACACTGCTCTGGCGTTGCTGCTCTGGCTAAAGGCCCTAGGCTGTCTGGATCTGGGGCTGGCGAGTGAAGCTGCATCGCAGCCACAGGGTGCTGCCCACACCCTAAATAATTTAAGACACAGTATGGAGCTCTACTTTCCATGACGGGCCTCAGGATGTCCCAGGAAGCCAGGTTGGTCCCTGAGCTAGTGTTAACCATTCTGCAGTACGAGCTACACAGATGACAGTTCCCCACCCACTCACCCAGGGACACAAGGACAGTAGACAACATTAGAAAATAATCAAATTTATTCTCTCTAGGGATTGGGGAAGGAGCACCTTGAGTCCCAGGGTGCCATCCATCCTTAAATAAACAGTCAAAGGGCCACCTGCTCACTCTGCAGGCGGTGGGCAATCTGGAGCTGTGGGTGGAGTTTCTCCCAGTGTGGGCTGGCCCTCAGCCCCATCCCTAGGACGGAAGACCAGCTCTCCAGCCTGCAGCATCTGCCCAGCTGGCCATGTGCTGCCTGGCCCATACTGCTGGTAGAAGTCCGCATCTGTCTGGAACATGACCAGTGCCTGGGCTGTGTGGATCCGAACATGCTGGGCCAGGCTGTTGGCATCCAGGAACTTGTCCCCACAGGAATCACAAGCGTAGAGGATGTGGGTGTTGGGGTCTGTGGAGGTGCAGGCTGTGGTCAGGATGGGAAGGACCTTGGGTCCACCGGCGTTCATGCCCCAGACTGCCCCTCTCACCTTCTTCCTGCACCTGCTTGACAGCCTTGCTGATCTCGGCTTTCAGTACTTCCGTCTCATCAGCTGTCACCGCAGCCCCCACTGGTACCACTGTGGGCAAAGTCAGCAGGGCCTGAGGCAGAAGCCACAGGAACCTACCCCATTGTTGCCACCAAGGCAAGCTGCCTGTGGCTACCCTCTGCCGCCTCTACAGTCCACACCTGTGAGCTGAGTGACCGCTGTTGCTGCCAGTGCCTCCGTGGCCAGTGTGACCATGTCATCCACAGTGACCACGCTGACCTCACCACCCTCTTCTGGCTCCAGGATCTTGATGCCCGCCTTGCCCTGATGCACGGTCTTCACGTGAGAGCGCAGGTTGTCTACCCGGTTGAAGCCACGGCCACACTTGTCACACAGGTAAGGCTTCTCTCCTGGGGGGGAGGTGAGTTACCATCCTGCCACCTGTAGACCTCCCAGGACCCAGAAGCCCCGTCTTTTCTAGCAAGTTCTCTGGCAGCCACCAGTGCTGACAGGTGCCTCAGTAGCAACCTCCTCCTGGAAGCTCCAAGGCAGGTGGAGTCCTCATTGGAACTGAACTTCAAGATTACCTGTAAGCAAGTGTGACACAGGGCTCCCTACCTCTCCCCCACTACCCGTCGCCTCCAAAATGGGCTGGGAAGGGCTGGACAGAGGCAGGCAGCACATGCTCACCGGTGTGGATGATTATGTGCTTGGACAGGTCCCCCACATTCACAAAGGCCTTGCTACACACGCTGCACTTGTGTGGTCGGATGTTGTCATGGTGGCGAATGTGATTGGCCAACTGGCTGGACTGGACGAATCTACAGGGCCACAAATCAGGGGCTTATGTTGACCCACAGGAGCCTTGATGTGTGTGTTGGGGGGCTTGGGGGGGTACCCACCACTCTGGGACACAGCCTGGGACTTGGCCTCATGCTCCCTGGGGTAGGGGCAGGCCGCTACCTCTTGCCACAGCGCTCACAGACGTAGGGCTTCTCCCCCGTGTGTTGGCGCACATGGGCGATGAGGGAGCTGGCTTGAGTGAAGGCTTTGCCACACATCACACACTGGCACGGCTTCTCACCTGGGGCAGAGGCACAAGGCACTGGCACCCACTCAGCTCCCTGTGCCCCTTCCACAGCCCACACGGGGCCTCCTCACCCACCCGTGTGGATCCGTACGTGCCGCTGCAGCGCGCCTGGGTCAGCAAACTGCCGCTGACAGTGGGTGCATACGTAGGGTTTCTCCCCACTGTGGATCCGCAGGTGCCGCTTGAGGTTCCCTTTGGAAATGAGGGGCGAGACTGGTGTGCTGTACTGCCAGGGGCCCAGGGACGAGGGCGGGGAGCCAGGGTGCTCTGGGCCTACCTGAGGTGGTGAATTGCTTCCCGCACTCCCGGCACTTGAGAGGGCCATCGGCAATGTGGATCTTCAAGTGGGCCTTCAGGTTCCCCACCTGCACCCAGACAGGGGCTCAGAAGGGTCCCCTAGGAACCTGGCTTTTCCCCAAACCCTTGAACCAGGAAATAATGGACTTTGTGGTCTCTCAAAGGGGCAGAGCAGTGGAAGGAAAATGCAGTAGAACCTGCTCTAAGATGGCTTGCTCTTCAGGGTCCCATCCTAGGAGAGTCCCTAGCCACAGATACAGTGGCTGCTGTGTGCTAACCCTGGGGAGCCACCAGCAGGACCCTACGGTGCTGGCTCAGGGAGGGGTGCACACCTGGTTGAACTTCTTGTCGCAGTGCGGGCACTTGTGCTCCTTGTTGGTGTCGTGAGTCTCCAGGTGGCGCATCTTGGAGGTGGGGTCAGAGAAAGAGCGGCCACAGTAGTCGCACTGGTAGGGTTTCTGGCCACTGTGCACCAGCTGGTGGCGCTTGAGGTTGCCTGAAGTGGTGAAGAGCTTGCCACAGTCCCCGCAGCGGTAGCGGGCCTCCCCCGAGTGCCTCTTCTTGTGCAGGTTCAGCAGGCTGATGAGCCTGTAGCTCTTGCCACACTCCTCACACCCATAGGGTTTCAACGGGCTGTGGGTCAGAAGGTGCTAGGTCATAGGAAGGGGTCTTGCAGGGTCCAGGGAGGCCCCCAGTCTGGGGGAGGCAAGGTGGGTACCTGTGTGTCTTCTCATGGGCCTTGCATGCTGCGGGGTCTGAGAAAGCCTTGCTGCACTCCCGGCATGAGAAAGGTTTCTCACCCGTGTGGATGCGGATGTGGCGTTTGAAGTTCCCCGTGTGCGTGAACTCCTTCCCGCAGTCCTGCAGGCGCAGCAGGAAGGAGTGCGTGAGGGGCTGCGGAGACCCTGGAGGCACAGGGCTGGCACCGCCCACGGCCCCGCACCTCGCACTTGTGGATGATGGAGCCATAAGCCTTGGACTCAGTGCGATCCCCATAGGTGCCTGAGCGCAGGTTCCGGCCTTCCATGCCAAGCTCCTGCCCAGAGTCTGTGCCTGCAGACTCTTCATTCTCCTCAGGGGTCTCCCCGTTCTCCAGATGCATCCCCTCTTCCTTGACTGTGGCAGGCCCTGAGACCTCTTCCTCTTGTTCCTCTTCTCCTTTGCTGGCTGGTTCCACTTCCATTTCTGCACAGAGAAGAGAGGGTACTGAGGGACCTGGCTGGGCTCAGAGTACCTTCTGGGTCTGCTCTAACTCCCTCTCCACTTCACAAATGCCTTTCTTTAGGTGACAGTGGCTCTAGGATCTGTCTCCTAAGTATTTGCTACTTGGAGGATGTAAGACCTCAGGGAGATGTATGTGGCACTATTAGCCAGTAAGTCCTTGTGAGCTTGGCTGTGGGAAGCACGCACCGTGCAGTGCCCAGGGCTGAGCCCCAGGGCTACGTCAGAATGCTTATAGACTAAGGAAACACGGAGGGGATGTGCACCCAAGACAGCTCAGGAGTCAAGAAAGAAGAAAAACTCAAGTGAATGCTGTGCAAGCAGGACAGGCTAGCGGGAAGAGGGGTCCAAGAGGGCAGTGCGGTATGTGTGGCTGTGGGGAGGGCACCTTGCTCTGAACTCTCTGACAAGGCCTCAGCTTCTGCAGCAGCCATGCCGCTCGTGGGGTCCGGCTTGAGTTCTGCAGGTGGAGGCTCCCGGGGAGCATCAGCCTTCTCCGTCTGTTCTGCACCTGAGGAGGGATGGATTGGGACTCTGTCCAGGGGCCAAATAGGGCTCTTCCATGGCTGGGAAGACCCTGCAGAACAAACTGAGCTAGACACGAGCCAGAAAACTATCGGAGCGCGTGCCAACCTCCCAGCCATGAAGCCTTTGCTATTGGGGGCTGCTGGTAGGTGGTGGACAGAAGCAGCTTCCTACTGTGCATCCCCTTCTTCCAGGTAGCCAGCCCATGAGGACTAAATCACAACTCACCACTAGCTGTACTTTCTGCCTGGCCACCCCGCTCCTCTTTGAGCTCTCTGCTTGAGCCTGCGTGTGGACTGCTTCTTGCTTGGTCCAGCCTGTTCAGCATGGTGGCAGCAGCCTTCTCTTCTTTGGCTCTCTTGTCTCCTGGAGACAGAACAGGACAGAGTTGTCATTTTCCATCAAGTGTCCACTGCCAGAGGGATGAGGTGGCTCCTCTGAGTGCCCCTGGGGACTTCAGTGCTTCACTGGTTTGTTCAGGGAACACCTTATCCCAGGACACTGACTTCACAGCACCACAAGTGATGTTACCTTACACGGGTGTGT